TGGCAAACTGCCAGGTCCCGCCGCGTTGCAGCATCTCCGGTTTGATACAGCTCGCCCATCATGAAGTCAGCATCATCCTACTGTAGCGACCGAAATCCAATAATCTTGGCCTGAACGCGGGAAATAACTAGGCGGTGCCAACTGACGTGAATCTGACTACTTCCTGTGTCCTACTGTATAGCTTCCTGACTTCCGCGAGTGACGCACAGTCAAAGGTTGGATCGAAATATCAAAACACGGTTTGCAGTAATTCAATAGTAGATTCGTAACCAAATCTGTGGTACTATCAAAGCAACAATAAGTTATGTCAAATTACAAAAATACCTCAACAGTGCCGTTGGGTAACTATACAGTCCAAAACGTTCTCGGGTACAAATACGTACTACACGGTAAAAACTGGTTAAATAAATACAACTGTTAAATACCTGTCGGTCAATAGGAATATTCCCGACAAAAGGGATCAAAACTCTGCCTACAGGAATCAAATCAACAAACAAACGTTCCCAGTAGACAGTCAAAAGACAAACAGTCAAATCACTGCACAACCGTAAGTTGAACCAAAACAAAATGTCGTGCGCAGTAAAACAACATCACCTTATCAACAGTCCAGCGTCACATAATAGGAAAGTGAAACACTCATAATAAGTCTCAAACATACAAAGGCAAATACCGAGTGTAAAGTCAAATAAGACAGTTAAACAAGCAAATAACATTACACCGGCGAGGGTCAAAGGTACACCATCCATAACGAGGGTAAAAATGTTAAAATAAATGTCAATACAATCAAATAAGGGTGATCGGGAGGGATTTTCAGATCATTTTTCCTTTACACCGGCCACCAAAATCCCTCCAGACACGCAAAACACCTCTGTGTATTCAGCCGTGGCTCTATCTACCTAGCTGTCTGCATACTCTATCTTTCTTCTACTCCCTCAAGAAGACAAAGCTTTCTTATATCTCTTCTCACGGTACCTTCCTTCATACGCACCATCACAGTTCTTACTAAATCGTCTTCGTCCTTCTCGCATGTTTCGATCACTCCCAAAGGCCAGGAACCACGTGGTGTTTTTTCAGAGGCCACAATCACCACATCTCCCTCCTTGAAATTTCTTTTCCTTCCCAACCACTTCTGACGAGTTTGCAAGCATGGTAGATACTCTTTCATCCATCGGCGCCAAAATACGTCAGCTAAGTAATTAACTTGTTTCCAACGTCTGACGTAATTATCGGCAATAGTGCCCTCCACGACTATTCCTCCACTATCTCTCAATAACAATAAGCTATTGGGAGTGAGAGCTAACTCGTCTTTTGGGTCGGTCGTCATGGGGACAATAGGACGATTGTTCAAAATTCTTTCTATTTCCACGAGGTAGGTGGCTAATGTATCATCATGCAGAGTCTGCTCTTTGGATATGACCATCAATAACCTGCGTACAGAACGTATCATCCTTTCCCATATCCCACCTCGATGACTCGCTTGCGGGGGGTTGAAACTCCATCGTATCCCCTTTGACACCATGGCATCATTGATTCGTCGTCTATCCCACACACTCACCAGTTGTCTTAGTTCCGAAATCGCTCCAACAAAGTTGGAACCATTATCACTGTATATCTCTGCAGGTGTTCCTCTTCTTCCTATGAACCTCATTACAGCCATTATAAAGGCGTCGGTGCCTAGGTTGAAAGCTACCTCTAAATGTATGGCTCGCGTCTGGAGACAAGTAAACACACACCCGTACCTCTTTTCCTCTCTCCTTCCCTGGCGAACCATGAGTGGTCCAAAATAATCAATTCCCACTGACGAGAAGCAAAACCATCCTTTCTGCACGCGACAGACCGGTAAAGGGGCCATCATCTGCTGACCCAGTGCAGCTTTCAATCGTCGGCACTCTATGCACTTTCTTATCACCCGTTTGACCGCACTGATCCCCTTAATTATCCAATAGTTTCTTCGTAGAGTGGCCAGGACTTGCGAAGTACCAGTATGTCCTTCTATAATATGATAATGCCTTATGATCAGCTCAGTCACGAAGTGATGTCTGGGGAGGATAACCGGATGCTTAAAAGTAAGTGGATAGTCGGAATAGTTCAACCTCCCACCGACGCAGACCAATCCATCCACAAGTATAGGTGACAACCTTTGCAATTCACCTTCTTCAGTCTCACAACTACCCTTTTCTCGGAGTTCCTTTATTAATTCTCCATATACCTCCTGTTGTACCATACATAATACTTTATGTCTAGCAGCTTCCAGTTCATCGGCTGTTAGATAGCCAACATTCAGTGACACACCTTGGCGACGCGAATACATAACGGATATGTAGACCACATATCTCTTAAGCCATGCCACAGCTTTAATCAGCCTCACCCAGTCCGAATGATACGCCAAAATCGGATCAGCAGTGAGCTCAGTAACGTTTGTGTTTGTTCGGACCGACCTCTTCAATTCGACATTTTTCGGTGGTTCCTTCCAGCAGAGGTCTGTGGTACTTGAAAACTGTCGGGTTCCCAGAAAAGAGGGGCCCTGAATCCAAGACGCTAATTCACACGCTTTTCGTATGCCTCTTGATGTCCAATCTGCGGGATTCTCTTCAGATTTAACGTACCCCCACTGATTTGGGGATGAATACTGGTGAATAATGGCTAGACGGTTGGCCACAAACGTACTATACCGACTCTCTGTATTTCTAATATAGTACAAAACAATCATAGAATCTGTCCAAAAATAAGTCTTGTCAAAGCTATTTGGGAGGTTCTTCCTCAAAATTTCACTCATTCGTGCACTCAATACTGCCGCAGCTAACTCTAATCTCGGCACTGTCACCGTTTTCAGAGGGGCAACCCGGGATTTGCTATAAAGCAGTATGCTGTAGGGTGGCGTGTTTTTTGGAACGTTCCACGAATAAGCCACCGCTCCATAACCAGATTCAGAGGCATCGCAAAATAAGTGCAACTCAATCTTACTCATCTCACTCTTATCCTCCTTCTTGATACTTCTGGGTACGGAGATTTGCCCAAGATTCTTCATGAACCTCATCCAATCCATCCATAGGGATAGGTCATTGGAACTCAGGGGTGTATCCCAACCAGCATGAGATTTGCAAAGATTCTGCAATAGCTGCTTGGCCGGAAGACAAACTGGGGCGATGAGGCCTAGTGGGTCAAAAAGAGCTGAGACGGTGGATAGTAGTCCTCTCTTCGTGAAGGGTTTTTCGACGGGTTCAAATCGGAACTTAAAAACATGCATGGTGTCCCATTCCAAACCTAGGGCCCTGTGGATTGAGCCTTGACTAACACGTAAGTCGACTGAGTTCTCTGTGTGGCTCAGACCAGGAAGAACTACTCTCACTGCCTCTGAATTAGTCACCCACTTCTTCAATTTAAAGCCACCACGTAACAACAACTCAGTGGACTGTTTTACGAACGTTTTTGCCTCACCTGGGCTTGCAAAAGACACTAGGCAATCATCAACATAAAAGTTATGCTTCACTGCTTCCACCACATAGCTATCATAATCGTTGGCATACGTCTCGGCAGTCTTGGCCATTGCAAAATACGCACAAAACGGTGAGGACACTGCACCGAATGGGTGTGACGTCATTTGATATTCAATAGGTTCCTTCGAGAAATCACCCTGAGGCCACCATAGGAACCGCAGAGCACCTCGGTCAAACTCTGGGACTTTCACCTGCATAAACATTTCTTCCACATCGGACGTCAGGGCAATCGGTTCTTTGCGAAAACGCAATAATATTCCAACCAAGTTCGCTGTCGTGTCTGGTCCCTGATACAGGAAGTCATTTAAAGAAGTTCCGGACAGTTTGGCAGCGCAGTCCAGCACAACTCTTACCTTCCCCGGTTTCTTGGGGTTAAATACGGCATGATGCGGCAAATACCATCGTGGGCGGTAGCTAGGATTAAGCTGGGGCTCAGGAGCTACTGCTGCATATCCCTTTCTGATGGTCTCTTCCATGGCGCTAGTGTAGCTTTCGCGAAGGCTTTCAGAGGATATTGTCTGCGTTTCAAACTCTCCAAACGTCGCCTGGCTACTTCGCATCCACCGTATACTCTCTTGGACCCCATTTTCCAGGGCAAGGGGACAACGAAATGTCCAGTATCCCAATAAGTACCTCGCTGCACTATGTTTACAGCGGCTAGGTCATCGAGGATAACGACTTATCTCCCGAGTACAAATCGCTGAACTCATAATCGTAAATTTTCTTCCATTGATCGACTAATAGATCTGACCGAGACATACAATTCACAACCCTCTCCCTGTGCTCACGAAAGCTTGTCGGACCGAACACGACCCAACCCAACAATGATCTCACAGCATATGGGCTCTTTCTGCCCCCTAACTTCTGATCTAGAACCCAGTGAGCCTCAGGTACATCGCAACCGATGAGCAGCAAAACCTCCCCGTCTTCCACCTCTGTCCAGGGTACGTCAGTGAGATGCGGCCACCTTTTAATACTTTCTCGCATCGACCCTTTAGGTCTCCGTACTGGGAGATCTCTTGCCACAACTGCTCGATCTATAAGTATGCATTCGTTTCCGTCTAGTGAATAAACTTCGAAAGGCTTGCTGACTGAGTCCGCCAATCTACTTCCACTAACAGTTTTGATGATAGTCTTTGTGCCGTCAGTCGACAATCCTAGAAGTTGCAAAACATCTTTCGTGATCAAAGTTGTATCAGAGCCATTGTCCAAGATAGCATAACCGTAAACCTCTTTATTACCGTGCTTTACACGTACCGGGAGTAGGCCCAAACACACGCTTTCTCTGAGAGACTCAGTGCATCCACAACTACCTTTCTCCGGTTGTTCGCCTACGGCGTGGTGGGTCTTCTTGTGTAACAGAGGGTGATGGTATGCTTTACAACCTTCTACACTGCACACCCTGTGAATTTTACATTCTACGGACCTGTGGCCCCTTTTAAGACATGAAAAACAACAACCTGTTTCTTTAGCCTTCGACCATCTCTCATCCACCGGTAACGACAGAAATGTGGTACATTTTGTGACTACATGGTTCCCTCCACAAAATATACATGAAGGTTTCAGGACTCCCCCAACGGGTACTAGCTGCTGCGTGGAACATGCTATTTTACTATCTGGTCGTCGACTGCTTGTTGCCAGCTGTCCAAACCTACTTAGCAAAATGCTCGCACGTGCTGACACAAACTGCGTTAACTCTGCGAAGGTAGGTTCTCGTTCGGTTTCAGTTAGCTTTTCGACAGTCTCCGCCCATTTCATCTGTAACACACGGGGCAATTTCTTTACTATACCTTCTAAAGTTCTCAAGGAGTTAAGGTCCGCAGTATAGTCCATTTGCTCTAGGGCTATAGCGCAGTTTTCCATTTTTATAGCTAACCTCGACATTGCCTCAGCATCGTTTTGTTCTATGTTCGAGCATTCCATCAGATCCTGTAGTAAGGCCCGGCTGACTTCATGAGTCCTTCCAAACAAACGTTTGAGTATATCCCGAGCCCTACGATAACCAGCAGATGGTGGTAACATAATGCATTCCTCTATAGCCTCCCTGGCCTTACCTTTACAGTAATGTAACAAGTATAACAGCCTCTGTCCATCATCATCAACCTTAGAGACAACGTAGAGCTCAAACTGCCTCATAAACTTCCAATATTTGGCTGGATGTCCGTCAAAGCTGCTTAATTCTACTTTCGGCAACTCATGGCCAACATTGACACAAGGCAAAGTAGCGGCAACCCCTTTGTTTTCTGCGCTGCTCCCTGGCTAGTCGTTTCACGATCAGAACTGCTATGAGGGTCAATGCCAAGACAAACTGATTTGTGACACTTTATATCATCATCCAAGGAAAAGGTATCACCTAAACCCCCATTCACATCTAAGTTGAGTTCTTTATGCAGACGCAACCTTTCCTGTCTTTGTTTAGCCTTGAATTCACGAAGTTCCAACTCTTGCCTTTCATCCAACTGTCGTACCTTCAACTGAGCAGAGGTCCTACAAGGACTAGTCTTACTATAGTCAATAACTGTACCATTATCAGAGCCACGGCATGAAATAACATCAAGAGGGACTTGCTTGGTATCTGAGGTTGGATCCATGGACATGTCATCCCCGTCCGGGATTGACTCAAGGAACCCCTTGCGATTGCCAGGTACAGCAGTGACGGGTTGTTGAGTACTGTAGCGGCCAGAATCCAATAATCTTGGCCTGAACGCGGGAAATAGCTAGGCGGTGCCAACTGACGTGAATCTGACTAGTTCCTGCGTTCTACTGTATAGCTTCCTAACTTCCGCGAGTGACGCACAGTCAAAGGTTGGATCGAAATATCAAAACACGGTTTGTAGTAATTCAATAGTAGATTCGTAACCAAATCTGTGGTACTATCAAAGCAACAATAAGTTATGTCAAATTACAAAAATACCTCAACAGTGCCGTTGGGTAACTATACAGTCCAAAACGTTCTCGGGTACAAATACGTACTACACGGTAAAAACTGGTTAAAAAATACAACTGTTAAATACCTGTCGGTCAATAGGAATATTCCCGGCAAAAGGGATCAAAACTCTGCCTACAGGAATCAAATCAACAAACAAACGTTCCCAGTAGACAGTCAAAAGACAAACAGTCAAATCACTGCACAACCGTAAGTTGAACCAAAACAAAATGTCGTGCGCAGTAAAACAACATCACCTTATCAACAGTCCAGCGTCACATAATAGGAAAGTGAAACACTCATAATAAGTCTCAAACATACAAAGGCAAATACCGAGTGTAAAGTCAAATAAGACAGTTAAACAAGCAAATAACATTACACCGGCCAGGGCCAAAGGTACACCATCCATAACGAGGGTAAAAATGTTAAAATAAATGTCAATACAATCAAACAAGGGTGATCGGGAGGGATTTTCAGATCAATTTTCCGCTACGCCTACCAATAATGTTTGTCCAACGTTCTTTCTATCGAAGTTCATTTGTTTAGTAGCAGCTACTTCTGTCTACGTCTGTGGACTTCCCCACGGCCAGGGGTTTAAAGCCGCACGGTCGAAAAAGCCCTTGTAACCCATTTTAGCATCTGTCTGTGAACTCTGTAGAGAAGAACGGTGTGTACCCTAGGGAACTCATGTTTTGAAGAGGACGGTATATGTTTCTTGCATTTGTAGTCTACCACCGGGTTCATGATGATCCTCTCCATGGTCCTAAATACCTTTTAGGTGGCATCCACAGCACGGCTGTTGTCTGTTATTGGTGCACAACCTGGCGTGTTCTGATTGATCCGTAACATTGCTTCTAACCATCAGTACATTTTCCAATGCAGTTGTAGGGATGCGTGTTACAATTCCGTAACGTTTGATCAACCCTACTTAATTTGATGTGCTCTAGTACCTGCTTAACCAGTACTTTACCTAACGTGTAAGTACTGGTAACAAAACACAAATCAAAAGAACTGATACGCAATGTATTTAAAGGAGCTATGTATTTAAGGTAAATGTATAATAATGAATGAGGGAAAAGTTTAATCAACTTATCTGGCTTGTAAGGCTGAACTAGGGACTCGGAGTACGTGCGTGGTGATCAGCACAATGGAGCGCAAAAATGGCGTCCAAGCCTGCTCGGATGCATGCTCGTTAAAACAAAACTTAAAACACCCTAAGCATCCGGAGGCAAGCTAGAGATTTATTTAGTTAATTTAATTTAAACTATTTATTTTAGCCCTAGTTATATTTTGGTGCCAGGAAGGTGCACTACAGGTTATCCCCCTCCTAGAAGGTTGTTGGGATACCGGCAACCTTCGATCCTAGGAGGCGACTGCGAGGCGGACACGCAACACCTTTCCATATTGGTGATGGAGTAGGTGACGTGTGGGTCTCCGAAGCTAGTGCAACTATGCACACCTACGAGGTAAGATAACTTTGCGTCTAGACGCAACCCTTCTCGCAGTGGTGGAAGGTGACCCAAAGCCTCCGTCTACTTTTCCCTATTGCTTCTTAATCTACCGGGGAGTGTACAGGGGGAAATTGGTACAAAGAGAACCGAAGAACGATCCAAGTAGCATCGTCAGCGGCCAATTGTATCCAATTTTCAACGCATTTTCTAGGTTCTGCAAGAAGAAAGAAATGGGACATTAGAGTGCTAAGAAAAGGAAAACCAAACAATTCGAAGTGGGAGGAGTACAGAAAAAAAAATAATAACCAACCAAAAAAAAGTTTTCGGAATTTAAATTGTATTTTTGGTTTTTTTTTGAAAAAAAAACTGTTTGCAAAGTAGTAAACATGACTTTTGAAAACTTTAGGTATGAAAACGCATTGAAAGTGTATGCCACGACAAAGTAGTTGAAACTCCGAATTCACCAAGTGTGAAGTTGCTCTGGGGCTAATTAACGAACTCGGCGTATCGCTTGGGCCAATGTACACGCCTCCCAGCACGTGTAGAGGTTACTGGATCAGTGTTACTAGACGTGGCTCTTTTAGAAGGTTCAGGATACGCGCGACTAAACGAGTCTGTTAGGGAGTCCGGCGGCAAGGGTCTGGGTGTGCCTGTGGAGGTGTCGCACAATATTGACACTTCACTGTTCAGGAGCGGTAGACGCTGTATCTTCAGAGAGGATGAGTGTTGAAGTTTTTCAATCTCCTCGTCTGAATCCTGAAGTTCGGCAATCTTCCGTAAGTCGACTGCTCGAGGCAAAGTAGTGGTGCAAACGCGAGACAGTGCGTCCGCGACAGGGTTATTCACACCAGAAATATGACGGATGTCCGACGTGAATTGCGAAATATAATCTAGGTGACGTAATTCACGCGGTGAATATCTGTCAGTAGTGGTGTGTAAGGCATACGTCAGAGGTTTATGGTCGGTAAAGATGATGAAGTCACGACCTTCCACAAAATGACGAAAATGTTTCACTGAGGCATATATGGCGAGCAGTTCCCTGCCGAAAGTGCTGTACCGCATTTCGCAGGTGGATAACTTCCGGAGAAGAATGCAACTGGGATCCAAGTGTGATCCGAAAGTTGTTGCAACACAGCTCCAATGGCCGTGTTAGAGGCGTCAACCGCAATGCTGAGAGGTAGGTTTACGTCTTGATGCACCAGCATCGTGGCGTCTGCTATTGCGGTTTTGATCTTGCGAAATGCTTCTAGTGCCTCAGGAGTCAAGCTGAAAGTTTTACATTTACTTTTCAGCAGGTCGGTCAGTGCAGTCAAAATGTGTGCACATTGGGGAACGAAGCGACGATAATAGCTCACCATACCCAGAAACACACGCAGAGCTTTAAGTGACGCTGGGACTGGGAAGTCTTGGATCGCCTGTACCTTTTCAGGTAGTGGGCGAATGCCTTGCTCGTCGATAACGTGTCCCAAAAATTTTAGTGAACGAACGCCAATTGGCATTTGGCCAGGTTGACTGTCATCGAATGCTCTGACAGTCTGGCGAAAACCTGTTTCAAGTGGTTAAAATGGTGTCTTCGTCTGGACTAGCGATTAGTATATCGTCTAGGTAGGCATAGGCGAAATCGAGTCCACGTAAAACATCGTGAATAAAACGTTGGAAGGTTTGTGCTGCATTGCGAAGACCAAAAGGCATACGGAGGAACTCAAAAAGACCAAACGGTGTAATGACGGCTGTCTTGGGAACATCATCAGGATGAACCGGGATCTGATGATATGCACGCGTCAAGTCAAGCTTACTGAAGATAACCGAGCCTTTTAAAGATGCAGTCAAGTCGTGAATGTGAGGGACTGGGTAACGATCTGGAATCGTTTTAGCGTTGAGCCTTCGGTAGTCACCACAAGGCCTCCAGTCCATGCCATTGTTCTTGGGTACCACATGCAAGGGTGAAGACCATGGACTGTTGGATGGTCTGATTATTCCCATTTCAAGCATGTGTTCGAACTCGGCTTTTACAGCACGCAGTTTCTCCGGGGATAATCGCCGTGGTTTCGCAAACACTGGCGGGCCAGTCGTCGTTATGTGATGAGAAACGTTCGAAGTCACACAAGGGACACAACGACTTGGCTTAAAGACATCCGGAAAGGACTGAATGATAGACGCGTAGGGACTAGAAGCGTCCGTCGTGCAGTACACGGGACTGAGGGGCGGCGTCTTTGTGACTATACCGGAAACAGAGAGTGTTGTGGTAGAATCTATCAACTTATGCTTGCCAGCATCTACCAGCAGCTGATAGTGCTGCAAGAGATCCATACCAATAATGCCGGTGGTCACATCTGCCACTATGAAAACCCAACGAAAGGGACGACGCAATCCAAGGTTGAGATCGAGGAATCTCCGACCATAGGTTGTGATGGGCGAACCGTTGGCGGCACGAAGTTGCAGAGACATTGGCCGCAGACGCTCTTCCTTCGTAGGTGGGATGACGCTAGCTTCTGCCCCAGTGTCAACTAGGAAGCGTATCCCAGAATGTCGATCAGTGACGAAGAAGAGGCGACATGGAAGTGGCTCGCCAGCGACGTTAGTCGCCGTCACGTGCTGGCTCACACGTTTCCCGCCTGGTTAGCCTCGAAGGTGCAAGGTCGAGTGCACTTTTGGCATTGGCACCATAACGTTTATGGTACCAGCACAACCTGGGTTGGGATTGTCGCGATTTGGAACGTCTGCTATCGGTACGGGAGGCAGACCTGTTGCGCGAGCGAGACGTGCGACCGTGGAAGAACTACCAGACCGCATTTCGTTCCTGATGCTGCACAACTCTTCATACAATTTTGAGATGTGAGCTATAACATCGAAACTTGTTGGCTCAACAGCCGAGGGAGGGTTTTTGAACGAATCCGTGGCAGTAGACAGTGCAGCTGAGATACTAGTGTTGGGTTTCGTAGCATCCACAGCTCTGTCAGCCGCTTCCGCCAACTCTATTAAGGGGCACTTATGGAAGGGTGCGAGGATCCCTTGAACCGACTGTGGTAACCTCTGTAACCACAGTTGCTTGAGAAATGCTTCATCAATGTTGAAGTCAGCAATCAGCTGCTTCATCTGACGAAGCAGTTGCGTCGGCTTGCGATCACCCAGATGCACATCCCTGAAAAGTTCTTGCACTTTCTGCTGGTCAGTAAGTGCAACACGTTTGATGAGGGCGGTTTTGAGGCGATCGTAAAGATTCGGTGCTGGGTCATCTAGCACATCTGACACGTCTTCAATCACATTTTCCGGTAAGCTGACGATGACTAAGTTGGACTTAGTTTCTTGTGATTGAATGTGTCTCAAGGCAAACTGAGCTTCCACATGGGAGAACCATGCAGATGGTCTGTGGGCCCAGAAGGTGGGAAGCTGGAGGGTTACGGCCATCTGCGCAGTCGAGTCGTTATCCGCCATTGATCAGGGAATTAACGAGGCACGATAGTGATAATAAAAAAAATTACAATGCAAAAATAACCAATGAGGAGTGCAATAATATAAAAAAAACGCTAGACGTGCCAAAAACAAAATTAGGCCAGACAAATCAACGCAAGAGAACAAAGGTACTAGACAAAGTAAGAAGTGATACTCGGGCTCACCAATTTTGTAGGGATGCGTGTTACAATTCCGTAACGTTTGATCAACCCTACTTAATTTGATGTGCTCTAGTACCTGCTTAACCAGTACTTTACCTAACGTGTAAGTACTGGTAACAAAACACAAATCAAAAGAACTGATACGCAATGTATTTAAAGGAGCTATGTATTTAAGGTAAATGTAATAATAATGAATGAGGGAAAAGTTTAATCAACTTATCTGGCTTGTAAGGCTGAACTAGGGACTCGGAGTACGTGCGTGGTGATCAGCACAATGGAGCGCAAAAATGGCGTCCAAGCCTGCTCGGATGCATGCTCGTTAAAACAAAACTTAAAACACCCTAAGCATCCGGAGGCAAGCTAGAGATTTATTTAGTTAATTTAATTTAAACTATTTATTTTAGCCCTAGTTATATTTTGGTGCCAGGAAGGTGCACTACACAGTGATGGCCGTTTAACAGGTAACACAGATATGCCAAAATTATCCACATTTCGACAAAGTTGTGGATGCGGCTTCTGTAAGCCAGTATGTAAATTTCAAAGGAATGCCATGGAAAAAGGTATCATGGGTGGGGCGGACGTATCTCGTGGACACTCAAACAAGCTATTGGGTTTATGCCATTGGCATAAGCTTCATTCTTGGGTAGCTTGAAGACTGGTGGGTGAAAAGTTCTCGCACCACATATGTATCATTGCACAGATACTAACCATCTATAAAGATATAGCATGGATTCTTCTTGCTTGATTTGATGTCAGGTCTGCTAAGATTGACCAGTGACCGAACTTTTTCAACCTCCATAACAAGTGAAATTCCTTGCCTATTGCCTAACAGATGTTGCTTCAAATTCACAGTCACCATTAACTGTGACTGGTGAGGTGAGAGGTAAAGAAGTGTTGAAGAATGGTTTCAAGTGTATTTGCACACGCGGTATCAAACAAATAGATGAATTAAGTCACTTCTGATAGCCCCAAAACCAGTAGAAAGTAAAAAATGAGTGACAGAGTAGTAAACTAATGACGTCCAACTGGAAGCAACCAGATATAACCTTGTGATCACCACCACATGGCCCATGATGACAATTCAGAATAGTGTGGACCGGTGAAGACGTGGGGGTCAAAACAGCGTGAAGTAAAATAAATACATAAGCATTTTATTCTCACATTAGTAAGTTAACATGAGAGAAGACAGTTTACAAGCATCACCACACTGGTGTACGTTGAAAAATCTACAAGATTTTACGTATCTCGAATTGTACAGATGGTATGTGATTGAAATACATTAAAAATATTAGAAGATCCTGCTAATTGTGAAATGAACAGGAAAATATCACTTTTCAGCGCATACAGAGTGTTAAAGCTTAGAGAATAACAATTCTGGTTCTCGTGTAGTGGATTTAACATGAGAGATACCAGTTTACAAGCACCATTAAATTATTAGTTCTTCAAAGTTTACAAAATGGTATTTGGTGTTAAATAACTCATATATCAAGTCAGTGATATGCACAATTTTATTAAAACTTGCTGAAATTCACGAGACAGCCATGGATTTTCATCTCCCACCATTCCACTGTTAAGTACCGAAGCGCACAATGTTCGAAGTTTGCATTGTAAGCCCAGTTGCGCAGTTGGTTATTGATTAAGAAGTTCTTCAGCTTTCAGTATTGCTAACCACAAAGGACCCATGTATAGGATCTGGAGAATCAGTAAAATATTCGCAAGTATGTAACCAAGGTGAGTGTCTAAAGCAATGCATTTCCATTTAACTATGTTAAAGCTGAAGGTAACAAAGATTGTAACCATCAGAAATGCTTATTTTAGTGCATTGAAATCAATATTGAGACGGTTACTAGTCTGTATGGCCGTGGTCATACGTAGACTTCAGGCATCTTTCATATAAGTGTAAGCAGCATCATTCGAGAAGTGTATTTCATGTTTAGAGACTTCCATTTGAAAACATCACTTGATACAGAGTACTGAAAAACATGTACTGTGTAGCTACTGCAGGTAAGTCGCATTACGAACCGGTATGTAAATTGGTCTATGGTTGGGTCACTTGTTCAGAATATTCCCCCTATTATAAATGTTAGGAAGGTTTAGACGGTTCCTCGCCTGAAAAATCGTAAGTAGTAAGTCAGTTTATCGTGAAAATGTCCCAGAGACCGCTGAAGATTGCGAGCAGTTCAGTGATTCTCAGGGTCACGGAGTAGGTATTATTTCCACCAGGAAGTTAACCCCAGATTGAAATTCGGCACCAAATGTTCAATTCGAAATGCTCCTGCAAAGCGGAAAAAGTAAGAAGCCCAAACACATGCGATGAATCATCATGCATCTTTTACTGCACGGTTTTAATGTCAGATAATCTCTCACAGTTAACCAGCTCACCAGGTACTAGAGCGTCCTAGGCCCGGATAAAGAGGGAAGGCTGGGCATACGACTGGCGATCCTACCCCACAAAACCTGTCTAACCACTGAAGAAACTTAAAAGCACAAAGAAACATAAAAAATTAAATTAAACTTATTCCTCACTGGAATTGGAGAGGCGAAATGACACCAGTTGATGAGAGCCTTCGGGATGCCGACTGGTCGATAAGTCTTCTCTATCTCTCTCTCAATGAAAGCGAAAGTAAGAATGGGGACATGGAATGCCCACACGTTTGAAAGCAGCAAAGCTGTCCAGATTGCCAAAGAGATGAGAAGGTATAGCATAGAAGTGCCAGGCTGGGAATCTGTGAAAGTAGATGGAATGGAATGGAAGTGGACTCTCTCAACTGTCAACTGGAGAGGAGTCAATAACCTACTCCGATATTGTCACTCAGACGACAACCACAGGTTTTGGAGTGGTTGTCATGATGTCCTCAAGAGCATCGAAGGCTTTCATGCAGTGGGAGCCAATCTCCTCCTACAGGTTCATGACAGCAAGATTCAAATCAAAGGGGAGGAAGGTCACAATCATACAATGCTACGCTACACTACACTATGCACCTACAAATAATCCAGATGAAGAGAAGAAGGAGGAGTTCTACAGACAAATGCAATCAGTGTAGGACAAGACCCCACTTCAGTTGGCGATATCAAGATTCTAATGGACGACGCGAATGCCAAACTGGGAGCGGACAACACAGGAGTGGAACCAATCATACGTGGAGAAGCACTCGGTGAAATGAACGAGAATGGAGAACTGTTTGCAGGTATCTGCGCATTTATTGACTTGGTGATTGGAGGCAGTGTGTACAGGCACAAGGGTATTGACAAAGTGACATGGATATAGTTTCACCAGACACCAAACACACAAAAATCAGATCGACTTCATCTCAATGTGGAGAAAGTGGAGGTGGAGTGGCAGCCTGCTGAACAGAAGATCAGATGAAGAAGGGAGCAGATGTAGGTCCACACCAGTCACTACCTAGTGCAAGGAACCTGCCTTCAAAATCAAGTTGAAAGCCTTCGCGGATGTTGGTGATTGGCCACAGTTCGAGTTGAACACCGAGAACAGAAGGCGAAGCACGAAACTACAAAGGACGTTTTCATTTCAGTCAGCTGTCAGGACAAGATGGGAGACATTAGGCAACATCCGTGAAGAAGCCTGAGTGGAAGAACACTGTAAGTCTTTGAAAGAGATGTTGAAAGAAACCTCCATACCTGTATTAGGAAGGAAGTTTTTATTCGGCATCGCACTGTTTGCTCAGTTCTTCCTCCTTGGTAGCCAGTTATACTTCTCTCTCTCATTGGTTTCATCTGAGTTGATCTCTACTATCCCAAATAGTAACCTGCTTATTTGATATAGTGTTGGCAGGCCTCTCACTCTCCTACCTCAGGCCTGTTCTGCTTCACTCGCCAATGTGTCGTAGAAGTGTCTTTTGTCTCTCCACACACTCCCCTTCACCACTTTGTCCAGTGTAGTGTTTCATAGGTTGTGTTCACTTCCTCCTTTCCTTGTTCATCCTTGCACTGCACTGCACCGCAACGGTTTATCTTCTGCTTCACCATCTCCCTCTTCCCATTCTATCAGCTTCCATGTGTCCGTCGACATCCATTCTTCGTCTTGCCTCCTCCTCTTCCTCTTCCTCTTCCTTCCTAACATGGTTGTGCAGGTTTCTTTCAACATCTCTTTCAAAGACTTACAGTGTTCTTCCACTCAGGCTTCTTCACAGATGTGGCCTAATGTCTCCCATCTTGTCCTGACAGCTGATTGAAATGAAAACGTCATTTGTAGTTTCGTGCTTCGCCTTCCGTTCTCGGTGTTCAACTGTACACACTGCCTCCAATCACCAAGTCAATAAATGCGCAGATACCTGCAAACAGTTCTCCATTCTCGTTCATTTCACCGAGTGCTTCTCCACGTATGATTGGTTCCACTCCTGTGTTGTCCGCTCCCAGTTTGGCATTCGCGTCGTCCATTAGAATCTTGATATCGCCAACTGAAGTGGGGTCTTGTCCTACACTGATTGCATTTGTCTGTAGAACTCCTCCTTCTTCTCTTCATCTGGATTATTTGTAGGTGCATAGTGTAGTGTAGCGTAGCATTGTATGATTGTGACCTTCCTCCCCTTTGATTTGAATCTTGCTGTCATGAACCTGTAGGAGGAGATTGGCTCCCACTGCATGAAAGCCTTCGATGCTCTTGAGGACATCATGACAACCACTCCAAAACCTGTGGTTGTCGTCTGAGTGACAATATCGGAGTAGGTTATTGACTCCTCTCCAGTTGACAGTTGAGAGAGTCCACTTCCATTCCATTCCATCTACTTTCACAGATTCCCAGCCTGGCACTTCTATGCTATACCTTCTCATCTCTTTGGCAATCTGGACAGCTTTGCTGCTTTCAAACGTGTGGGCATTCCATGTCCCCATTCTTACTTTCGCTTTCATTGAGAGAGAGATAGAGAAGACTTATCGACCAGTCGGCATCCCGAAGGCTCTCATCAACTGGTGTCATTTCGCCTCTCCAATTCCAGTGAGGAATAAGTTTAATTTAATTTTTTATGTTTCTTTGTGCTTTTAAGTTTCTTCAGTGGTTAGACAGGTTTTGTGGGGTAGGATCGCCAGTCGTATGCCCAGCCTTCCCTCTTTATCCGGGCTTAGGACCGTCTGGTACCCAGTGAACTATTTACTTAGGTGTTGTTATATTATTTAATGGTATTTGTAATTTCCTCATGGTATATTTCCCCCTGTGTGAGTTCCAGGATACTGCATAATGAGTCATCATGATGTAATTTGTTTGGTAGTATCTAGCATTGAATCCTAGTACTTGTATTTCTTCTTATCTCGAACTCATCAGCTAGACGTACCTACTCCCTACTGAGTGATGTCGTTCCCAGTGTGATTTGAAGTTGTCACTCATGAAGGGATAATAACATCCATTAGAAAAAAGATGGCTCTCAGACCATAGTAGTTAATGGTTAACGCCTTTCCTTTGTAACGGTTCGAGTCTTAGCGGGAACAGAATCACTTGCTGGAGTGTAGGTGCATTCAACTAATAAGTCCCGGATAGGACGAAACACTCATCCTGGATTCCACTGCTAGCCACCACTCATCAAATTACAACGTAATACTAACGAAAATAGTTCGTGTGCAAGCATATTTAGCGAATAATACACTTCATGACTTATTAAATTAACTATCACCCAAATATCAATAATGAGAAAGGCATTCATCATTTCAATCTACTTTCTTATCGTCAGACAGCAGTATAAAACATATACTGTAATAAATGAGAAGACATATGTTTGTGTTTACTCATTATTTTGAAGTAAAGGCTTAGCTCGAAAATCACAAAAAAGCAACAGATAATCGTATCTTCACAATAGGTTGATCGACAGCATACAGGACATTTAACCAGCTGAAAATAGAATAAGAAACAATTACTTACAGATCAAACAATCGTTTGATTCAGATATATCTCTTAAATGTACAGTCATCGTACGCTATCCTATATGAATAAGTTTAACATGAAAATTATCAGTGTTAACAATCTCACTACCCTTCACTCAATCAAATGGGCAAATGAACATAAACTGCAGCCATAAAAACCAGTGCTACATTTAGTAGACAATGAACCCTTCTTTTGCAAAAGAGGTTATACAATAACTGGTGGCCAATTAGTTTACTTTATGAAATTCTCTGTACTTCTTTCTTTTAACTTTAGTTGAAGGAAATTTAGCATCATGAAAGTAGAGAATAAGTAAATTTGGCTACAGATAAAACTTTCAAAAAGTGCAGTTTCAAGATACTACTGAATACAGACGCAGAGACCAACAGTGGACATGCTCACATCACTGTTGCAGAAGGTTTGGAAGAAGGGAAGTCAAGGTACCTGCTTAGTGGCAGAAGGGCTACCTTGTCAATTTCCTGAAAAAGGGCAACCTAAGTCTTTACAGGAACTAGAGCAGAATCATGCTCCTGTCAACCCCAAGCAAGATATTAAGCTGCATCGTCCTGGAGAGAATAAAACATACACTGGATTCAACTGAATTACGACCGGAACAGGCTGGCTGGGTGGCTGGCTTCAGGAAGAACCAATCATGTGCAGGCCAAATTGCTACGCTACGCTACGCATCATCATAGAACAGAGCGTAGAATGGCAGTCAACTCAACTGAACCTCAAGTTCATCGATTTTGGAAAGGTCTTCGATAACGTCGACCGAGAAGGATTTTGGCAGCTGCTGCTTCAACACTATGGTTTTAGTGCCACAAACCTTCATCAACCTCATTCAACAACTATATGAAGACGCCACATGCTGAGCGATTCACAACGGAAAGCTCAGTGATGCTTTTGAAGTGAAGACAGGAGTAAGACAAGGTTGCCACCTAGTATCACCGATGATATTCCTGGTTGTGGTTGACTTGACTGGATCATGCGATCATGCCAGAAACTGTGAAGAGCGAGAAGAGTGGTATACGCTGTTTGACCGATGAAAAGAGCCTAGAAGATTTGAATTTCGCCGCCGATGATGATTTATGTCTAATGTCTTGTGGCACAAACTCGAAGATGTACGGGTGAAAACCAACAGGTTGGGAGAAGAGGCAGAGCAGGGAAGGGCAGTGAAAACGGGACTTCAAGTGAACATAGAGAAGATACAGGTGATGAAGATACCCAACCAACAACAACAACAACAACACTAATAACAAGCATCAATCACCATCGATGGGAGAAACCTAAAGGAAGTAGTCTAGTCTAGTCTAGTCTACCTAGGCAGTCAGCATCGTTTCAACTGCAGGTGGGACAATGAGGATGTGAAAGCCAGGGTCGGAAAAATAAGATAGGCTTTCATTAGTGTGAAATCAGTGTGATGTACTGCACTCAGCATAAAGCGTGAACAAGATCCGGATATTCATCACTAATGTCAGTCAAGTAAGTCAGTGTTTCTATGTGATGGTTGAGAGACTTGGCGCGTTACGAAAAGCATTTCTAACAATCTGAAATCATTCATCAACAGTTGTCACGTACGCTCACTCGATACTGAAGATCAGACTAGATGGATGGCCAGAAAGAAAAAGCAACAAGGAACTCTGGCCTGGTAACGAAGCAACCAAGAACTTATCGCTCAGTAAATATGCAGAGAGAGTGGAGATGGACTGGGCATATACTGGGAAGACCATTCTAGGACATCACATGCCAGGCCAGCCCCTTGAGTAGAACACAGATGGGAAACTACGAGTTTGGCGTCCGAGGTAAGGGTGACATGGAGGAGATCGTGCAAGGAGGAAATGAGAGCTTCTGGGCTGTCTTGGATCCAGGTTCAAAAGATTTCAGAGAACAGATTGGAATGGGTACGTGCTACTGAAGCCCTATGTTCCATTAGGAACCCAAGTGACAAATAATCATAATACCGAACTTTTAAAGTACGAATTAGATTTTAGCCAATACTTTGATGGCATAACTGGCGACAAAACATTCAGTCCAACTTAATTTGCGCAACCTGATAGTCGTCGGTTCGATTCCAAGCTGGGTGAGGTCATAGGTACATAATGCTGGGAAGTATCATAGTAGGACGAAACAGCTATCTACTATTATCAGGTTTTCAACTACTCCTCAACTATTGTTAGTCCATGATGGACACCAACTTGAAATCAATAGATCCCCCACAAACCTACAAATTGATTCACTCTTCTATGTGTCGAAATGAAATTTCCCGAAGTTCTAATGAGAAGACGTGACCGTTGGGTAAATGCAAGTTGGACATAGGACCAAATACTGAAGACCTTTAATGAAGGAACACTGAATCCTATGATAACTGGTGACTGATTATAACCAGTGGAGATATGGCTCATTGGTTTAGGGAGAAGATGGCTTTCAACTACTGGGTAGCGGGTTCTAGCACCTCTCCGCATACCACAGTTTCGTCAGCCAAGCAGTGTTATTAGCCCTCACACAATAGGTGTGACTCATTACCTACTACATGAATGTGTACAAGGTTGCTGGAAAACAACTTCAACAGTAAACACATAAATATTTCCTGATAGCAGAATACCAATGATTGGTTTTGATTACTATTCTTTTTGATAAAACTTATACTTTTGAAATCGATGTCATCAGAGGTATTTAGTTTGTAAAATTCATCCATCCTTTTACAGGGTATCATCATTTATCACTGAATTTATTCTACTAAGTTTACTTAACCTATTGATTTGGACTTGAAAAATATCTTCAAAGCAATTTTTTTTAAGTCATATACTGTACAACCCAACACACATATATGAAATACATTTGGTCCACGGTAATATTTTTCTGTAGGTGTTATTTTCTACCCCTTCCTCCTCACTGCCTGTGTCACTTATTGTCCAGTCAAAATGGATGAGGAAACACCCCAAGTGATTGGTTGCACGAAGTCGAAAAGTACTATAAAAGAGAGCAAACTCAGGAAGGGTTGCTTTATATTCATGATGAGCTACAATAACGTCCGAAGTGCCATAACCGATAACGAATCAATCTTTATGGAGCATTTTTGTCCCGCCACTTTCCCGTCTTTAGAGTCTTTGAAGGAGTATGCTAAGCCAATGTAAACACACTACGTTGTGTGAGATTCAGATTTGCAAGGTGACCGAAGAGCCTACGTCAGGTTTATTTGCTTTAGGGCTAGTGAACGCTGTTCAATAGGTGGTTTAGTGACAAGAAAGTCAGTTCTGTTTGTTTTCATTATATATTTCGTAGAATATCCCTGAAATGTTCATGTCGGATGGTCGTGCTCACGAAGTTCTTAGAAGGTTTCTGGACAGTAATTTGGGTGGCTGTTAATTCACAATCATCCCTACAATTCTCTACTTTATGACAATAGTTCTTGGGAGAAGAAGTTGACGGGAGTTGAATTGAAGAGCATAAGGCCATTGCTAATATCCATCACGGCTGTATTTAGTGTTATTGATTTCGTTTATGCATACTATGGTAAACGACTAAATAATCAAGATGTGTTCAACATGCGTTATCACCTCTTCGTTCAGTGTAATTTGAACGGTAACTGAATTTTCCCTTGAAACAATGTTGTTGTAGGCAGTTATGAAAAGTTGTAAGAGCATATACCTTACCCTATGTATCTGGCGTCAGTTATGAAGACACCACAAAATTTAATCGTAACATATGTTAGCTCTTAACATCTACATCCTATCAGTTAAATGCTTTGGAAGCAGATATTTACACTTTCAAACAACAATACATCTATGGTGTGACCTGCGCGCGAATTTGCTGTTGATCTGCTCCACTTCGGAAGCCTCATTTCATCAACTAGGAAAGTTCTCGATGGAATCTATGCATTAACTAGACACAAGAAATGTAAGAAGTGAACTCAGGATACTTTCTGAAACTTTCAAGTATGATTGAAAGCGTCGCCAAAAATCCGTGTATTCTCCCTTTTGAACAAAATATTAAATACTTACATAGTATTTATAAGCCAATTTACTGCTGTTATTTGATAACAACAGGAATTCCTATACACTACGACTTCTTAGAAGCATAGGAAATCGAATAAATGTTGTCTCTTAATCATAGCTGAAATAAAATAGTTTCCCCGCTGTCATACTTTATCTTGAACAGCAAATCCACTCTCAATAAAGAGTTTTGAAAGGCAGAGTACAAGGTAGAAATTTCATGGCAAACACCAAGATCCATTGTAACATTTGCCCATATGAACATGATTACTCAATTTGTACCGTTTGATCAGAACTGTCAAGGCAAAGTAATCAGTTTCTCACCAACATTATACTTAAAATTACAGCTAGTAGTGTATTCCTACAAGGACTTAAATATTATGGATGATAAGATTGTGTATTGTGGAATGGAATAATATATTAACAGTACATTTTTTCAATGAAAAGTTTACAAATAATGATAAACTTTTATTTCGGGAAATTACTAATAAAATATTCCAACTGTTGGTGTGATCAAGGGCAGTAATTTTGTTCAAATTATAATCAAAATAAGAACTTATGATTATGTGCAAACTTTCCATAAATACATCTAAGATTTAGATTTTCCTGGAAGCCTTATTTGTCGTTATAAATTACACTCAATGCATACTAATCTCGGTGACTACCATGACGCACGTTTCGTCCTACTCGGGACTCATCAGCTAGATACATTTACACTCCTAGTGAGTGATATTGTTCCCATTATGGATCGAACTCAATACCTATCGCTTCAAACTTCAAAGCGTTATCCACTAAGCTGAGTACCAAATAAGATGAAATCTTTTGCAAATTTCAAATTCGCTTTGGATTTAATCTTTACCTGATGGCGATTACTTTCTTAAAACAGATTTAAAGTGACAAGTGATGATGATTTTCTAAGCCAGTGTAAGTACAAATAGATTATCTGGGCTCAATTAATGAGATTCCTACAAGTAAGTGTCCTAGTCCAATAGGAAAGTACACCTTTGCCACACAAACACATTGACTTTTAAACAGAAGAATCAGCTAGTCACTTTTCATTTCTGATTTCTTTTTACCATCTTAAATAAATTACGAGGGGGGGGGGGGGGAGAAGTGTGCCGGGTAATAAACTTCGACCCACAGACGTACTAAGTGAATTCATAATTCTTCCGTTTCAATATGAAAACCTCAAATCAACAAGATTTTGGTCAGCTATTTGACACTTCATCAGTGTTTAGTGGAATAAACGAAATGTTTACATATTTACCATATTCTAAAACATACATTTATTTGTATCAAGAGGCAACGGACTAGAGAAATAGTAATAATAATGGGATCAGTGTTAACTCGTTGTAAATATATTGAATGGCTACTACATTACGACCTAACTGAAGTGTGTAGATTGCGTGGCTGGCTGGGATCTCTGAGAAGATAGGAATCAGTGACTGAAAACTCTTAGTGAAACAGCTGAAAAGTGGTCAGAGCGCGTATGTTTTTTCAATCTTTGATGCTTCCTAGCGCCTAATTGTTTTGAATAAACTTAATTTTTAAATTCCCTCTACTACTATACATCTTTTTCCATCCACTTGTTCTTTGTAAACCACTGTGAAGTATGACATTTTGAATCAATGCACTTGTATGCGAGCCTCTAAGGTGATTTTAACTGATTGACTTCATTAGTGGATAGTTAAACCATCAATTTCTCCTTCATAATGACATGTCAATTGATGTGATAACAACTTCATCTCTGGGAAACAAACAAGTCAAATTATGTAGTTTCTAGTATTTACAGTCATTCAAGAAGACGTTTTCACAAAAACAGAAAAAATCAACTGAATTTACTAAATTTTATCTCGTAAATTTGGCGTCAAATATATTCATGATTATTTTTCCCTTGGGTTCCTAGTGGAACATAGGTATTCAGAAGCACGTCTCCATAGTGCTGTGTTCTCTACAGTCTTTTGAGCTTGGCGCCACGACTGCCCACAAGCTTTCACTTCTTCCTCATATGATCTCCTCCTTGTCACCCTCGGACACCCTCGCCCAACTCCTCGTTTCCCCTTTGGATTCCACTTAAGGGCCTGGTGCGTGATGTCCTCAGTCGGCCTTCTCAGCATACGCCCAATCCATCTCCAGTTCCTTCTGCTTATTTGTTCAGTGATAGTTTCTTGGTTGGTTCGTTACGAGGCCAGAGTTCCTTGTTGCTTGTTCTTATTCTTCCTGGCCATCTGATCTGGTCTTCAGCATCGAGCATAGGCAGCAGTTGTTGATGAATATCTATAGTTTGTTGGGAATGCTTCGCGTAACGCGCCAAGTCTCTCTATCATCACATAGAAGCACTTGGTGTTAAAAATCCGAATCTTGTTCCACATGCTGAGTGCAGTAGATCTCCACACTGATTTCAAGTTAATGAAAGCCTGTCTTGCTTTTCCGATCCTGGTTTTGACATCCTCGTGTATGCCGCCTTTAGTTGAAACGATGCTGCTAGGTAGGTGAAATATATACATATATATATAAAGTATTGCACTTGATAAATGAACACTATACTTACTGGTACAGATGATTTCAGCCGACCAGGTCGTCCAAGACATATCTGACACAATAATAAGTCAGCACAATCATGTGTCTAAAAAGAATGAATGTTGAGTTATTACTGACAGACAAATGCAGATGGTGAGTACATAGGACATAAAATAAAAGTTTTTGTGATAAATAATGACAAATGAATCATGTTCAAAAGATGAATAAATAAAACATCCATTTGGGGAGGGGGGGAATTTAGATAGATAGAAAACTAAGTTGTTCGGTTTTCAAACTTCAAATGGAAAGTTTAAGTAAACGCAACAATCTAAAAACAATAATAATGGTGAAATCAATGTTAAAATGATATAAGTATTCTTCTTTCTCCATAAATTTTTAATCACGATACAATTTTTCAGTAAAATCAACCTTAGAATCTTATGAGAACATGTGGATAGACGAAAATTGTTTACTGTTCACAAGTTAGGCTTGATATACATCATTATTAAATAAACAGATATATGTAGAGAAGACGGTTTCATGAGAATCTGGCTTTTCCTATTTAAAACTCATAGGTAGCGACAAAAAGGCAGCCAATAAAGATATTGTTTTCATGATTAATGTATGTATTGACATGATAACCTGATTGGATAAATTTGAAGTCATACAACTAATCGGATTGGTTAATTTATGGCTTCATTTTCTGACAGTTTTGTAAATATAAATATATACATGTATTCGTCTAATAAAGTTCTTGTTCTTACAGTGACAGGTCAGTATTTTCTTTTCTGATTTTCGCGGCTCAGTGAAATATAGGGTGTGGAGGAGAACAGTCGTATTACTCGTATCTAGTCCAAGTATCTCGTTGCGTTATTATCTCGTTTGCGTATTATTAGAACCTACGTCATCTCCCAACTCAGTCACAACAAAAACAGTTGAATGTAGTCATTACTCACTTTACTGAACACACTACATAACACTTCTTTAAAGAGTAATGATATTTTGTAAGCTCGAAAAGGTGTAAGCCAAAGGAAAGTTTATTATACATATGACTGGAGGTTTTCTAACAGTTGGTTTAACAAATAAGCACCAAAGAAAACTTCTAGAGGTAGTGACCGTTTCAGTGGGAATTGTATTCCCCTTTAGTAAGATGTCGTTGTTTTTCCTCATAGACATTCTCGATTCCGAATAAGTAGGATTAGGATTGCCCTACACTAATACATGGGTGGACATGTATTGACAGTAAGTGCGTAAACAAGGCAGAGAGACGGAATTAAATGCCACGAAACCAACGGGATGTAGAACTGAAGACGGTCAACTATGAATAAGTTATAATAGCACTCCGGTGGAATGGAATTCCTTATTGAATCTCCTTATTTGATATAGCACATAGTGATGATGTTTCAAGCTCAAATTATTACTCATCATCTGATTTCTGTTTGTCATTTCACCTGGTATTTATTTTTTCATTGATAGTAAAATTTTACAAATTACTGGTATGTGTATTGCGACATTCCTATTACATGCGTTGAGTATTGATTCGATAAACAAATATTCAGTAGTCAATGCCTCTGAAGGCGATACCAAATTAGGTAAATGTTAACGCAGAACTTACTCACAGATCTAAGGTTTCCTTTCATGAGATTATGTTAAGTGAACAGTTGTGTGTCTCACCTCTATAATCTTCAAATTTCAGGACAAAATATATCAACAAACAGAAGAGTAACAACGGGATTATAAATATCTATAGTCATAACAGATATATTTACGGATATGTGGGGATACACGGCTGTACGAACGTTTAATCCTACACATAAGATATACAAGATATAAGAAATCGGAATGTAACGACAATTTGTTTATATGAATTCAGTATCAGGTATAATTCATTTCACTCATAAGGTAGAAAATGAACAAGCAGAATCAGCTAGGTTGGATTGCAAGGTAAAATGAGGAACAGATCATGGTTTGGATACTACCATCTACAAGAAACCAACACATTCTAACTGGTATCTAGACTTCAGGTAATGTCATACAGTATCACTTCTTAAGGTGAGTTTAGTCAACTGTTCAATTTAACAAAGCTAGAAGACCCACTAGTCAGCCCAAAGACTTAAATAAGGAATTGAAACATATAAAGCAAATACTACTAAAAATTATCCTTTAGAGTTTACTAAGAAATTTTTAAGAACATATGAAAAACGAAGTAGTCGCATGAATAATAACGACAACACAAGTAGAAAGGAATTCAGGACCCCTTTTCTGCAGATGTATATGAAAGGAACATCAGAAACTTCCCCAGACAACAATTGGGCAACCTTGGGTCATCAATCTGATTCGGGTTCAGATGTAGTGCGCATGGGACCAAACAAAGGTTGGGTCTTTGTTTTAGTCTGGCCAAACGTAGGACCAACAATAAGTACGTGAGGCCAGACATAAGACCAAATGCAGAGCCAAAAGAATTGGGTCAGAGGTAGGGGAAAATTTGCAAAGCCCTACACCTGGCCCTCCACTTGGCCAAACGTTTGCTATAGTGAATGGCTTGACGAAAATGTTGAAAATGTTACGCGGAATTCTCAACAAAACTAGAATTAGAGTGACACTTAAACCTACAAACTCATTGAGAGATAAGCTTCGCTGGCTTGAGGATCTGACAGACCCAAATAAACAAAATAATTTACCCTACTCAATTCCATCCAGTGACTGTGATATCAAATACATGGATCAGACTAGCTGATAAGGGTCAGTAAGATTTGTGGAGTATAGAAATCTAGCTGTGACTAGAATGATAAATTCCAGTGTGATCAATGATCTATAAAAATACTGTGCTATTGCTATACACAGGAGTAGTTGAACTAATCAACGCACATGGAAGTGGCAGAATCAGGCAGTTTGTCTTTATTTCTTGCACTTAGAATCGTAAGGTTGTAGAAGATGGGACATAATTTAACGGTTCGGAATGGTTTTTGCAAGACTCTTTTTGTGCGTTGTGTATCGAAAAGAAGTTTGTTCAACCACTTTCATTGCCATGGCCGTTAACATTATGTGACTCCTAGGTTTACTTCTTGTTTCTATCACTATTCATTTACTTTCTTATTATTACGTAATCGCTTATTGTGGATGACTGAACACTCGTCAAAAATCACTCCATTTACCTAAGAATAGCTTGCTTCCTATTTCCAATTTTAGTAACCCTATTGATGATTTACATCATTCTTTCTGAAACATCACCATATGATTGGTAATTTGGTTAAATTGTAAAACTATGCATATTAGTGTAGAGCCTAAGATGAAGACCTAATTGAAAAAGAATATATTTTTCCACCCACTCAATCAGTCTTTTTTCCTAAATGTCTAAATGGGAATATTCAATGTATTATGATATGTCTCAATCTCACCTGGTTAACTAGTTCACTAGTTACTAGCCAGTCTAAGCCCGAGTAAAGAGGGAAGGTTGGGCATACGGCTAGCAAACCTAACCCGCAAAACAAATCCAACCGCTAAAAAACTTCAAAGCACAAACAACATATAAAAAAATAATAACAAAATTATTCCTCGCTGCAATCGGAGAGGCGAAATGTCGCCAGTGAAAGCATGCAGTAGGGATGCTAATTGGTCGATGTGTCTTCTCTCTCTCTCTCTCTCGATGAAAGCAAAAGTAAATGTGGGGACATGGAATGTCCGCATGATGTTCGAACCCAGCAAGGCAGCCCAGATTGCAAACGAGATGAACAGGTATCACATTGAAGTGCATGGAATTCGCGAAAGCAGATGGAATGGGAGTGGAATCTCCAAACTGTCAACTGAAGAATCAATAATCTACTCCGATATTGTCACCCAGACGACAATCACCAGCACACTCAGAGAGTAGCTATCATGATGTCCCCAACAGCATCGAAGGCTCACTCTCACGCAGTGGAAGCCAATCTCCTCCTGCAGGATAATGACAACAAGATGCATTCAACTCAAAAGGAAGGAAGGAAGGTCACAATCATACAATGCTATGCTACGCTACGCTACGCACCTACAAATAATGCAGACCAAGAGGAAAAGGAGGAATTCTACAGACAATTGCAATCAACACTGGACAAGACCTCAGTTGACAACATCAAAATCCATTCCAATAGACGATATGATTGCCAAACTGGGAGCAGACAACACACGAAGAGAACTAACCATGGGTTGAGAAGCGCTTGGTGAGGTGATGAACGAGAATGGAGAATTGTTTGCAGAATTCTGTGCATTCAACGATTTGCTGATTGCAGTGAGGCAGTGTGTTCAAGCACAAGGATATCCACAAGTCAGCGACATGGATTTCAATTCACCAACAACTAGGACACACTACACTAAAAATCACATCGACTTCATCTCAATCTCAAGAAAATGGAGACGCAGCCAGCCCACTTGACACAAGGTCAAGAAGAGGAGCAGGTGTAGGCTCACACCACCATCTAGTGCAAGAAACCTTCCAAATCAAGTTGAAAGCCTTCAAGGAAGCTGGTGATGATAGACCACAGTTCAAGTACAACACTCGGAACAGGAACTGAAGGACGAAACTACAAATGAAATCTTCACGTCAGCCAGTCATCAAGACAAAATGAGAGATATCGAGCAGCATCCCTGAAGAAACCTGTGTGGAAGAACACTGGAAGTCTTTGAAGGAGATGTGGAAAGAAACCTGCATAACCAAGCGTATTAGGAAGGAAGTAAGAAGAAAGAAGATAAGGAATGGATCTCGACGGATCTCCACATGGAAGCTGATAGAGCAGGGAGAGGAGGATGGTGAAGCAGAAGATAAACCAGTGCAAGGATGCTCAACGACAAGAGGAACTGAGTGCAACGTACAAAACAACACACTGGACAAGGAAGTGAAGAAGAAGATTGCACGCAAACACAAAAGACACTTCTACGACACATTGACAAGTGAAGCAGAACCGGCTGCAGGTAGGAGAGACAGAGACCTGACAACATTGTATCAAATAACCAGGTTGCTATCTGGGAGGGAATAGATCAACGCAGACGAAACCAATGAAAGGTGATGACGGAAATTTAATTACGAAAGAAGAGAAACAAAGCAAACAATGGGCCGATCACTTCAAGAAGCTCTTGAATCGACCACCACCACCTGCACTTCCACAAATACCACCTGCAGCCGCTGAACTACAAGTGAACATAAATCCTCCAACGAAAGTGGAAGTCCTAAACACCATAAAGCTACTGAAATGCAGGAAAGCAGCAGGACCAGATGGGATCCCGTCAAAAGCACTGAAAGCACACGCAGAGGCAACAGCGAACATGCTCACACCACACCACACCACTATTGCAGAAGGTCTGAAATGAAGGAAGGGAAGGTACCTGCCCATTGATTGGAAGGAGGATTACCTTGTCAAAATGCCGAAGAAGGGAGACCTCAGTGTTTGCAGGAACTGGCGCGGAATCACTCTCCTGTCCACTCAGAGCAAGCAAAATATTAAGCCGCATCGTCCTGGAGAGGCTTAAGGATGCATTGGATTCAAAACTACGACCTGAACAGGCAGGCTTCAGGAGGTACAAATCATGTGCAGACCAAATTGCAACGCCACTCTACGCATCATCATAGAACAGAGTATAGAATGGCAGTCAACTCAACTCTACCTCACCTCAACTTCATCGACTTTGAGAAGGCTTTTGACAGCGTCGACTGAGAAGTAATTTGGAAACTGTTTCAATACTACGGAATACCACAGACCTTTATCAACCTCATTCAACAACACCTACATGAAGACGCCACATACCAGCCAAGTAATTCACAATGGGAAGCTCAGTGATGCTTTTGAAGTGAAGTGAAGACAGGAGTGAAATAAGGTTGCCACCTACTATCACCCATGATATTCCTCATTGTGATCGACTCGACTCGACTGGACTGGACTGGATCATGCAGCAAACAGTGGGGAGCTGTGAGAAGAGGGGGATACGCTGGCTGGACTGTGGAAAAGAACCTAGAAGATATGGATTTCGCCAATGATGACCTGTGTCTGATGTCACACAAACTTGATGATCTACAGGCGAAAACTAACAAGTTGACAGAAGAGGCAGGGCAGGCCAGCGAAGATGGGACTTCAAGTGAATATAGAGAAGACAGAGGTAGAGGTGATGAAGATACCGCACCAACAACTCCAACAACAACAATATCAAACTCCAATCACCATCAACGGGAGAAACTTAAGGGGAGTAACCTCCTTCACCTATTCAGCCAAGGCAGCACTGTTTCAACTACAGGCGGCACAGGCACAGACGAGGATGTCAAAGTCAGAATCGGAAAGACAGCAAGACAGGTGTTCATTAGCCTGAAAACAGTGTGGAGATCTTCTACACTGCACTCAGCATGTGGAACAACATCCGGATTTTCAACACCAACGTCAAGTCAGTGCTTCTTTGTGATGGTTCAGAGACTTGGCGCGTAACAAAAATAATTTCCAATAAACTACAGACACTCATCAACAACTGCCATCTACGCTGGCTCGTTACTGAAGATCAGATGGCCAGCATAATAGGAATAAGCAACAAGGAACTCACTCTGGGAACGAACCAACCAACAACCTATCAACCAACAAATATGCAGGAGGAAGTGGAGATGGATTGGAATGGGCATACACTGAGAAGGCCGACTGGGGACATCACGAGTCAGACCAGGCCGTCTAGTGGAACCCAGATGAGAAGCGACGAGTTGGGCGAGGGTGTCCGAGGGTGACATGGAGGAGATCGTGTGAGGAGGAAATGAGAACTTGTGGGGTGTCGTGGAGCCAGATTCAAAAGATTTTAGAGAACAGAGTTCACTGGAGACGTGCTACTGAAGCCCTATTTTCCATTAGGAACCCAAAGGACTAATAATATTAAAATAATAATAATATGTCTCACTTCTCATAATTATCTGTAGATTAAGGCTAAGTATGTACTCCTTATTCTCCTGAAATAGATGACTCTTGCACTTTTTAGGATTAGTAGTTTCATATCTATCGAGCTTCTTCATTTGACACATTTAGGTGTATCATTCATGAAAAAGTGTACTCACTATTGATTAGATAGTGTGTTCTCACCTCTAGTCTCAATTCTTGTCAGTCTGTAGCGTTTAACAGTGTAAATTTAGTTTTAGAAGTCACAAGTTCGTCTCATTGATTAGTATTCTAGTGATCGCTGTTAATCGGAATGGATATAAGTAGCTTATGTTGAGAGAAAGCGGCAGAAATTATAGGCAATTACCAGCAATGGGTAAAGATTATGCCCAGAGAAATGCAAGAGACATTGTGGACATATTAAGAGCGAATCAAGATAGAAGTAGAAGAGAGAAGGAAACACATTGTGCAAATCACTTTCTTAGTGGAAGGTGTAAAATATTCGATGACTACTGTACAAGATGTCAATAATCAACATTCCTTCTTTCGTCTGCGTCTTATCGTTTTCTACAGTACCAATAATGAAGTACTATACTTCAAGAAAAGTTCCTGATCATTAAATTCAAACAGGCAATAAATAATTTCTCTCTTTATTTGCTTCTAATCTTTTGATTGTGTCTATTAGATAAAGATTTAAAGTTTTTGTTTCAGTTGACGTTTTTTGATTCGTCTTTTAATCACCCTAAATTCATCTACTCTAGAAACAGTTTGCAGTATAACCAACCCTTCAGGAAAGAAAAAGATTTTGGGAACAAAAAGTAACAAAGTTAATATGCAGTGGAATTAACACCACTTGTATGGCAAAGATTTTTAGCTACACTAGATAATGAAACTAAGAATGTTAAAAGTACACAATTTGTATAAAATATCTATTTAACAGATATGTTTACTTCTATGGTGTTTATATGAGAGCCACAAAGTATGGTGTGTGTTTCGCTTTATTAAGGTGCAAAATATTCTTACAAGATGGGCGGGAGCCTGTGTTTACGCTCACTCTTGGTGGTGAGACGTTGGAAGTAGTCGAAAGGTTCGTGTATCTAGGTAGTTGTTTCAGTGCTGGTGGATGTATGAGTGTTGAAATTTTCAATCACATATCGAAAGCCAGAGTAGTATACTTCGACCTGGGCCGCCTTTGGCGCCTTCACGATATCATTTTGACCGCAAAAGTTTGGGTTTACAACGCAGTTCTGCTCTACAAATGTGAAACCTGCCCTCTCCAAGCTGAGGATGTTTGAAGACTCTGTGTTCGACCATAAGATTGCTCGTATCTTGTGACAGCACCATGTAATTAATTCTGGGGTGGCTGGGCATGACGGAGACTATCATTGTAAGTGAAGCCATCTGGAAACACCAGCTTCGGTGGCTTGGACATGTGTTACGAATGTCATCCAAACGGCTTCCACACCGATCTTTATTCTCTAACTCTGGAAGTAAATGGAAGAAGCGGAAGGGTGGTCAGTGTATGACGTGATGACATGGGATGAAAGATAGTTGTATCCGGTTAGCATTTGTTGGTGCATAAGACTTCCTGGTTGGGGCTCGAGAGATCACACAACTCAGTGGCTTGAAATGTTATCACATACGGATCAGAATCAAAACTAGTGCAGGTCATGCTGTAGCTTCGTCCTATCTTCTGCTGCTGAAAAGTAAATGAATGTTTTGTTTTGAATGTACCTTACTGGACTGCCCTTCTAATCATTATATTATTATTGTGTTTTATTTTTATTCACCTCGCTTCACTTTATATCCTAATGATGTTTCTATATTATTTTGCATAGTGCATTTCTTGGTGCTCTTGTTGTTCCATGTTTACGTTCTAATGATAATAATGACATTAATGTATATGAAGAATAAATGATAACTACTGTCATCAAAAACAAAGAAACAGAACCATAACTGGTCAAAGGATGAAACACTTAGCCTTTATTACTGAATTATTCTACTAGACAATTAAAGACTGAAGAGAATCATTTGAAATAAGTGGGCTGGAAAACAGTAACGAGGTAATCAAGACCGATAAGTTTATACAGAGATCTTGTCAAAAAGGCCAGTCAAAGATGAGGGATTCAAACCTCGGAAATTCAAGGTCATAACTCACCTAAACAGAAAATAGTTGAAAAAGAAAAACGTTGATGTATACGCATAAATTATGATAAATGAATGAAGTAAATTATGATGCTTAAAATCAACATTATGTACAATTTGTAAACTTACTCTCCGTTGTGGGCATATACCATTAAGACAGGCATCAATAGAAGTTAGTCTACAACAGTTGCATAAATCTGCAATTGATAGACAACATGGACAGCATGTGAAAGGTTGAAATTTAGTAGTAGACTGTTTAGCCTTTGGTAGACGATTAGCCAATACTGATTTTACAATGGCATAAATTATTCCTATGACTATTAGATAACCAAATCCACACAACAGTAGTAAAAATGGAAATGGCATCGTTAAGTCATAAGTGAAATTTTGGAAGTCTGTTGAGCCTCTTCGATTTGTTAACTCAGCTGAAGCCACATTTTGTGGGATATTGAATACTTCTACCTGGTAAATACATTTAAACAAACTCAGTTATTAGATAAAAATAAATAAAATGTACAGTATGTCTAACTTTTTTGTCGCAGTTTTCTTGTTCAACTACACCTGCCTTACAGAAACAATTAATCTGAAAAAAAAATCGGTGATTTGCTTAAGCTGTAAGTTGTGAGAGGAACACGAATTGTAATTCTCCTTTGTTTCACTGGATCGAACTGTTCGATCTTTATTGACATATGGGCTCCTATGGGAATGCCTTGATATTGCCTGAATATTAATTATGACAAGTTACTTGGTTGTGGCTAGCAGAGGAATCCAGGATGCTCGTTTTGTCCCATTTGAGACCCGTCAGCTGGATGTATCTGCACCCCAATAAATGATGTTGTTCCCAGCGAAAATCAAACCTCGTACCCACCACTTCAAACACCAGGGCGTTATCGACTGGGCAATACTAAGACATCTATAAAGAAGCCCATATGCCAAAACAGGTCAAACTATTCGATCCAGTAAAATAATGGAGAATTACAAGCATATCAACAAATAGTAATAACTAATACCCGTTGTACAAGGGATGGTCATCGTGCATCCCTGGCCTAGTGGATAGTCCTTTGGCGTTTGAAGTGATGGGTACGAAGTTCGAATCTCAGTGGGAACAACATCACTCACTGGGGTGCAGGTACATCCAGCTGATGAGTCTTAAATAAGACGAGATGCGCGTCCTAGATTCCCCTACTACTCAGAACCAAGTAGACTACCATAATTAAATTAACTGATAAAATACATCCATCCACTCAAAAATAAGAAGAATAAGATTTTTCATCAGCAAAGAAGTATTTCTTTCTAATGACTTTGTTATCAGACTGCTCAGTTGTATTTATATTTGATAAAATATCAGATAGGTGCACCAGAAAGTTGCTCAGTTAATATACACTCAATATAATTCACAAGCTCTTGTGAAGTTGACTTTATTCGACTTTCGAAGCCGGCTCCTTGGAAGCACTTTACTGCACACTACTAGGTTTGTTTGGCTAAAGGAGAGTGAGGAATAACAACTTTAATGATATGTCAACACCCAAAGTCATTCACTTCCTGGAAATCCATCTTTTAAGGTGATTGACAGAGCAAGATTGAACTAATCCAAAAGGTATGTGTTTTCACTCTTCATTTATGTCTGAAGCCCTCCCTATATATGACCAAAAGCTTGAACTATGCATTAAAGAGCTTTTTATGAGACCTATTCCCTACTTTGACATGAGCGATGCATGACGCGTGTGTACTATGGAATGACCTTGGAAGCCTAGAAAAATAAGACAAGAATAATGAGCTGGCATTTAACTCAAAGAATTATGAACCAAATTTCTTCTGCACCTGCGTACAATGGGATTCTACCACAGTCTCAGGCTCATCTAGGATAGTCATTCAAAAACTAAGCATGATCCGAGTTTTTTTCTGATAGAAATCCTAGGTCCCATAGAAACCAACAAAAGGAGACATTTTGTGCATAAATAACCAGGTTTTCTTATCTTTAAACTTCTCATCATGCTCTACAAGACTGATACACGGTCTCTTCTTCAGGTCTGCAATGTTACAGCTACATCAGAAAGATGATACCAGTCTCTCCATCAAGATTTAGAAGTCAGCTTCAAACTGGAGTTATAAGTTGTAGCACAATATGTATAAAGTTTGGCTGCAGTATCTAGCTGTTAGTACCTGGACTCCCCTCAGAGGTGACGCAATCAGGGCCTGGTAGACCCTAAGTAACTCAAACAGTGAAATGCCATCTGGGAATCACTGCAGAGATCCTCATAAAAGCCCAGACGAAACTGCTTAACAAGCAGCACGGCTCATGCACAATTCTTATTCTTATCAGTGCCAGTCTATGACTACTACAGCGTACTGCTAGTTGATACAGTCACGGGTCCATCTTTCGACATCTTTAAAAACACATCAGGTGGTTAAATCATTACACGCGGGGAACATTCATCCAGTTGGAACACTGGTAAGTTGAAGAGCATGAAGATTTTGTGCATCAGTCCTTTGCCTTTTCTCTTTTTTATGTTTTCTTGCCAATCCTTCTTACTGTCTCTAGTATCATCGCTATTATCATTTCTGAATGACTAAAAATCTCCTGCCATTCAGAGAGCTCCTAACTGGTGGGATGAAAAGATCAAGGATCGTTTCGCAATTATCATTCCGGAAGCTGCTACAGAGTGCCGTTCTGTAGACTATAGTCTTTGGTCCCCTGCTATTTCTCCCTTATTTAAATGGACTGCTGAGAGTCATGAAAGTCTTCCTTGACCCGCTACTTCGATGATAAAACATCCGGTGAGAATTAGGAGATGATAGTGATGATAATGAAGAAGTATACATACTTAAGATGAATCCAAAATGATATATTACCCTACTCAAAGAAATGGCTGATGGCTATCAAAATACCTAAGTGTGAAAACATGCATATATGGTAGTTAGACGGTAATATCTACAACAATCGTGGGATTTCTCCATCTTGGATATGAACGCACCATAACTTAGAAATCGAATTAGGCCATGGTCTGAAAACCAAAGTTTTATAGTTTGAATATCCTATGCGTAGCCATAGTTATATTCAAACTGGAAAACTGCACACATGCGGCGAACTTTTGCTTGGAAGATAACTCAGTCCTTCTGGGTAAACTGTAAATGAGATTTACTCGTACAGTATTTAATATAACCTGTCAGAAATGACCTCAGGATATAATCTTCTTCTCTTCACCGTGTTGTAGATAGAAAAAAAACTTATTCAGGTTATTTCAAACTTTAAGAAGTGACTTTGAACCAGGTGTGAACTTCCAACTTCACTTGTAGACATAGTGAAGGATGATACCTTGAATTCTATGTATATCTTAATTAAGTACGTTCTTGGTCTGGAATAGTCGCAGTTTTTCTGATTTCAAAACACCTTAAAGGATAAAGCAAATCGATAATCAATTAATCAGCTCTCTGCTAGTAGTGCTGCTACCCACGGTCTGCAAGGTGATAGAGAGCTTCTTCACTACATCCCACATGCATCACAGGACTCTAAGTGTGCATGTAACCTTCTTGAAAACATTAGGAAGGAGCTATATGAACTTGTTCAGGAGGGGTGTTTCACAGTCTGCATACCCTAACTGCAAACTGGTTAACATGGATCCTGGTAATTGCAGTCTCATGCTCTACTTTTAAGAGATAGCATCAGTAAACTTATTTGATAGACTCCTCCTGATTTACACTTCAGTGGTAACATCTAGGACTGCAGTACTGAGTGATATGGACGGCCAGGATATTAATTCCATCAGGGCTGAAGATACACCTTACTGACTAGTCTCAAGAAGCACGAAAACTAATTTCAGGGCCTCCTGTTAATTGACTTTATCCGACTAATAGTTTGATGCCCACTGACATTATCTTTCAATAGGATGTGTTTGGATTGGAGATTGTTATTCATAGGGATCCTCAGCAGTACCAAAGAAACTGTGCAGAGAAACTTGCTGAAAACCGAGAGATTCAGAATCAGATGAGGCTCCTGAAAGTTTAAAAACAACCTTCCATTTAACGAAATTATGTCTAAAACTATTAGGCAGTAGGGAATGGTCCAAGATTAATGTTGCAATCTGTCTCTTGGATGCAAACTTTGATGTGAATGTCAACTCATTCTTCAGCTTTTAAGGGGCTGAATTACAGGACCTGAGTTGCCAACATTGTAAGCCACTTTTGGGACTGACTGGTAATGAAATGTAGGTAATGGCTCTGATCATATTTTTAATGTGTTTGGAGTGACATCCCTATTTACCAAATCCCCTTCGAAATGAGTAGTAAGTGGACTGGTTATTCTAGAAGTCGGTTCCATTCGGAGTTAAGTAGGAGGCGTAGATACCCTACCAAGGTTACTTCTATTTACTATAGAAGGACTGCTCATTGCTTTAGCTCGATCACATTTCTTCCGCCTTCTATTATGGTGCTTGTCGGATATCCTATTAGCATCCTTCGTTGAAGGAATATGTTCCAAAGTTATGGTTACAGAGAAGCATTCTGTGAAACTGATGTTTCAGTAAATATTTGTTAATTTTATGCCACGTTTTACACTAGGACACGTGGTACAATGAATAAGAGAAGTGTTTATCTTAGAATTGCAACCCTGATTATTGCACCTTTTAGTGGCAGTCTTGATATGGCGCAGTTTTTTTCCTAATGAAACCATTTTGTGCAGAGGTTTAACATGACATGTTAGAAGAGCACAAAAGTCAAGGAAGAATGTCGCACATACAGATAATTGATCTTCGTGTCTACCGACCAACTTTTGAAACCTACACAAGGAGGAAGTGCTGTTCGCATCACCAAGTGAATCATTCCATATATACATAAGAAAGTGATTGACATGACCTGGAAATCTTGACTATAATATAAATATAAACCAAAAGCTGAAGTAAGTACAAGTAAATACACTTAAAGACTAGGTTGGTCGCAATGGATGATCAGTTTTGAAACTTGATAAACCATGTGAACTCAGATCATCATGAAAGAATACTAGATAAGACTGGAAAACAGAGGATATATGCGGCAACTATCCCAAAAATCGGAGTTCAGGGCTCTTCGAATATGCGAACATCTGTACACAAATTTTGACGGATTAGGCAAATCTCTCTTTCGTCCTTATTTTTAATAGATATCATGTGGCGTCACACACTTCTCTAGAATCAATAGCCTAGAGTTTAACGAGATTCAGCATTGATGCTGACCTTCATTGTTTAACTGGACTGGCAAAGCTGAAGGCACCCGGTCAAGCATCCACTCCATTTGGCACACTGTCGTGTTACGTTGCACTACTCGTAATCGACCCTCTAGCCACTTAGTTGGAACGCATCGGAATCTTGACACGACCTCGAAAATACACTGATCCACCCAACTACACTAATGTGTTCTCTCCTGGTCTTGTGTTCGTGGGTATATAACAACTTCGAATAATGAGTGATTGGTCTCCGAGTCTGTCAAGTTCGCACCAGGACAATTCCTAAAATCTTATATGAATTTTCCTTGGTAATCTTCAGAAATATCACTTATGGTGTGCACTAACTAAGCAGCATGATATCTGAAGACAGTTAGTGGTACATATTAACGGTCCCAAGTGGCATTCACTTCAGACACACTGTGGTAATTTTGTTCAAATATCCAGATAGTGACCGTGGGAACACTTAGAGATATTCAAAATCTTCCAAAAACAACCGAAAATCTAAGATTTTATTATGACCACGACAAAGCTATGGGTATTAGCTAAATTTTTTGACAAGGAAATCTACCTAAACTTTTGTTCGACATGTACTTCATTTCAGGAAAAAAAAGAAATCGTTGTTTTTAGCTAGCGCTAAATAAAAAAATTTTAGATCAGATACTATTTAAATTTTGAAGGAATCTACTATCTGCAGCACTTATTATTAATGACTTCTAAATCAGATAACAAATGACAAAAGTCAATGAAAGCTGAAACTAACCACTTACAGGTATTGGCATAACAACGTAACATTTAAACTACCTCCAGCAATTGTATACTGCTTTTAGGTTACAAAAACAAAACTCGGGAACAATGCATGTGATCCTTTATAATCAGACTTACAGTCACGTTTAAGAAGTGAAAACGCACTGTCATTTATTCTGACCTCTATGAGGCTGAAATTTATGAACTGCTGAAAATATATACCCAGCCCAGATGTAGTTTCTTAGTGCTGGCCAGCACAATGCGACTTTCAGAGGGGCATAAGGCATAAAACCTTTTATTATAAAGCTGCTTTTATCCACAGTTAGTGCTACGACGCCACCTAATAAACGCCAAATATGTGAATGACATAACCAGATATGCGCGTGCGGACATCTGGATCGAAAAAATTACCAACTATAACTAGAGGCCTCTAAACTCCCTAGAAAACAAAAATGGTGGTGGAACGAAAGAAAGCACAGAGCACTGTTTTGTGCACATATCCTCGTGCTAGACCGAAGCACGCGACTTACTCTTCATCATTTCAGCACAGCCACATTTATACCGACCCTTCTGTAATGCACTATAAACACTAACTCGACTCAGCCTTAAAATTCATTGTTGGAAGTTTCACCTTTCCAACAACCACATCCAACCGACAGCCATGCTTATTATGTTGCCATTACCTCCATTATAATGATGTATGCTCTTTTCCCTACCTCTGACACCCTTTAGTCTTACACTAGTAATCAAGGTTCGAAAGTCACCTGGTTCACTAGTTCAGTAGTTACTAGCCTGTCCTAAGCCTGGACAAAGAGGGAAGGCTGAGCATACGGCTAACAACCCTACCCCACAAAACCTGTCTAACCACTGAAGAAACTTAAAAGCACAAAGAAACATAAAAAATTAAATTAAACTTATTCCTCACTGGAATTGGAGAGGCGAAATGACACCAGTTGATGAGAGCCTTCGGGATGCCAACTGGTCGATAAGTCTTCTCTATCTCTCTCTCAATGAAAGCGAAAGTAAGAATGGGGACATGGAATGCCCACACGTTTGAAAGCAGCAAAGCTGTCCAGATTGCCAAAGAGATGAGAAGGTATAGCATAGAAGTGCCAGGCTGGGAATCTGTGAAAGTAGATGGAATGGAATGGAAGTGGACTCTCTCAACTGTCAACTGGAGAGGAGTCAATAACCTACTCCGATATTGTCACTCAGACGACAACCACAGGTTTTGGAGTGGTTGTCATGATGTCCTCAAGAGCATCGAAGGCTTTCATGCAGTGGGAGCCAATCTCCTCCTACAGGTTCATGACAGCAAGATTCAAATCAAAGGGGAGGAAGGTCACAATCATACAATGCTACGCTACACTACACTATGCACCTACAAATAATCCAGATGAAGAGAAGAAGGCGGAATTCTACAGACAAATGCAATCAGTGTAGGACAAGACCCCACTTCAGTTGGCGATATCAAGATTCTAATGGACGACGCGAATGCCAAACTGGGAGCGGACAACACAGGAGTGGAACCAATCATACGTGGAGAAGCACTCGGTGAAATGAACGAGAATGGAGAACTGTTTGCAGGTATCTGCGCATTTATTGACTTGGTGATTGGAGGCAGTGTGTACAGTTGAACACCGAGAACGGAAGGCGAAGCACGAAACTACAAATGACGTTTTCATTTCAATCAGCTGTCAGGACAAGATGGGAGACATTAGGCCACATCTGTGAAGAAGCCTGAGTGGAAGAACACTGTAAGTCTTTGAAAGAGATGTTGAAAGAAACCTGCACAACCATGTTAGGAAGGAAGAGGAAGAGGAAGAGGAGGAGGCAAGACGAAGAATGGATGTCGACGGACACATGGAAGCTGATAGAATGGGAAGAGGGAGATGGTGAAGCAGAAGATAAACCGTTGCGGTGCAGTGCAGTGCAAGGATGAACAAGGAAAGGAGGAAGTGAACACAACCTATGAAACACTACACTGGACAAAGTGGTGAAGGGGAGTGTGTGGAGAGACAAAAGACACTTCTACGACACATTGGCGAGTGAAGCAGAACAGGCCTGAGGTAGGAGAGTGAGAGGCCTGCCAACACTATATCAAATAAGCAGGTTACTATTTGGGATAGTAGAGATCAACTCAGATGAAACCATTGAGAGGGATAGTGAAGGAAACTTAGTTACTAGAGAGGAGAAACACAGGAAACGATGGACTCAACAGTTTGACAAACTCTTGAACTGGTCACAACCTGCAACTCGTCCAGATATACCGCCTGCAGCCCAGCTACAGAACTACGAGTGAACACATGCCCTCCGACAAAAGTCGAAGTCCCGAACGCCATAAAGTTTCTGGAATCCTTGGAAGCAGCAGGACCACATGGAATTCCACCAGAAGAACTTAAAACAGACACAGAGGCAACAGTGGACATACTCGCAGCACTATTACATGCGGTTTGGATGTAAGGAAAGATGTGTACCAGCTGAGAGGAAGAAAGGCTATCCTTACAAACTCCCGAAGAAGGGAGACTGAAGTCTTTGCAAGAAATTACATGGCATCATACTTCTGTCCACCCCAAGCAAAATGTGTGGTCGCATCTTCCTGGGGATACAAAAAATGTTCTCAATTCAAAATTACGACCGGAATGTGCTGGATTCAGGAAGAGCAAGTCTCGTGCGGATCAAATCGCAGCGCTAGGCATCATCATACAACAGAGTATAGAATGGCAGTCAACCCTCTACCTCACCTCAACTTCGTCGACTTTGAGAAGGCTTTCGATAGCGTCTACCGAGAAGTAATTTGTCAGTTGCTTCAACACCATGGAATACCACAAACTACTATCAACCTCATTCAACAACTATATGAAGACGCCACATACCAGCCAAGTAATTCACAATGGGAAGCTCAGTGATGCCTTTGCAGTGAAGACAGGGGTAAGACAAGGCTTCCTACTATCGCACACGTTCTTCCTGATTGTGGTCGACTGGACTGGATCATGCAGCAAACGGTGAGCAGCGAGATGGGCATACGCTGGACCGGGGAAAAGGTCCTAGAAGACTTGGATTTCGCCGATGACTTGTATCTAATGTCGCAGGAACTTAAAGATCTGCTGTCAGAAACTAACAAGTTGACAGAAGAGGCAGAGAAGATGGGACTTCAAGTGAACATAGAGAAGACAGGTGTGATGGAGATACCCAACCGCCACCACCAACGACAACAACAAGCATCAGTCGCCATCAAGGGGAGAAACTTAAAATAGGTAGTCTCTTACACCCACCTTCCTACCTAAAGAGCATCGTCTCAGCTACAGGCGACGGCACACAAGAGGACTTCAAAGCCAGGATCGGAAAGACAGCAAGACAGGCCTCCATTAGTCTGAAACCAGAGTGGAGATCTCCTGCACTCATCATAAAGCATGAATAACATTCGGATTTTCAACACTAATTTAATCAAGTCAGTGATTCTATGTGATGACTGAGAGACTTGGCGCGTCACGCAAAACATTCCAGTAAACTACAGATACTCATCAACAGCTGCCGCCTACGCTCACTCGGTACTGGAAGATCAGATCAGATGGCTAGAAAGAATAAGCAGCAGAGAACTCACTCTGGCCTGACAGCAAGCCTACGAGGCAAGAAACCGTTGCCCAACAAATATGCAGAAGAATAAAGTTGAGATGGATTGGATTGGAAATACACTGAGAGAACCATTCGGTGACATCACTTGTCAGGCCAGGCACTCGAGTGGAATCCGATGGGAAATGACGAGTTGGGCTTGCGAGGGTGACACGGAAGAGACGGTGTGAGGAAGAGATGCGAGCTTCTGGGGAGTCGTAGAGCCAGGTTGAAAAGACCGCAGAGAAGAGAGTGCAGTGGCGACTTGCTACTGAGGACCTATGTTCCAGTAGGAACTCAAGGAACAAATAATAATATAGTAATAATACCCAACGTTCGAATACCACTGTCAATGTCTGCCTGTACAAACCTAATGGATATCAACTTGTTATTAGCATGTATACCGGGACGTGGAAGATTGTTCAGAGCATCGAAAACACGCTCACATGGAGGTAATGGAACAATATGTTCATGACAAAAACGTGACAGATGGCTGAGGGAAATTGTGAAGTCTATTCCAGATCCCATAATCAACGTGCCATTGTCTGTCTGTGGTGTGTAGAGTGTAAGTCGAAGACTTATAGTTGTTAGATATGATGAAATCATGGCCTTCCGCAAAATGAAGGAATCGCTTCACTGCGGCATATATGGTGGACAATTCAAAACCGAAAGTACCGTACCGCGTTTTGCGTGTGGATAGCTTCCAGGAGGAAAACGCAGGTGGAATACATGGGTGGTCGGAAAATTGTTTCACAACAGCTCCGATAACTGTGTCAAAGGTACCAATACTAATGTCAAGAGGAAATTCTACATCTTGGTGGGCCAACAATGTGTCATCTGCAATTGCCTTTTTCGTCTTCCGAAACGCTTCCAATGCCTCGGGAGCCATGCTGAAGGTCCTACAGTCACCTCTCAGCAGGCTGGTTAGTTCAGCTAAAATGTGCATACACTGCAGGACAAAACGGAAATGACAGCCTACCATCCCCAGAAATACAAGCAGTCCTCAATATGATACCAGTACCGGAAAACCTTGAAAAATCTGTACTTTCCAGGTAATGACCGAACCCCTTGCTCATCGATGGCGCGATCAAGGAAGTTCAGTTATTGGACACCAGGCTTCTACCTGGCCAGACTGACAGTAACTAAGTGTTCAGCAGGCTTTTCAAAAACTTGCTGCAACTGAATGTAACAGCTATCCTCTTCTGCACTCGTGATAAAGACGTCCTAGAGGTAGGCATAAGCAAAATTTAACCCGCGCAAGTCGCTTAGGATTAAGCCCTGAAAGGTCTGTACGGCGTTTCATAGTCCGGAAGGCAGGCGGAGAAGTTCAAACAGGCTGACTGATGTCATGGCTGCGGCCTTCGGCACATCATCCGGATGAAAGGGTATTTGATGATAAGCGCATGTGTGGTCAAGTCTGCTGAAGGCCGTCACACCCTTTA